AAGTTCCAAAACCTACCGCAATAGCGCTGGCGTCTGAAAACCTACTATATGAAGATAGCTGTTGTGAACGGAGTGAAGTCAGCTGAATTCAAATATTTAAAAAAATTTATGACTAGAGTAGTTAAAATGCCAGTATTTAACTTTGTAAAAGAAAAAAAGGTGAGAATAATATAGCTATCTTATTTTGTAACATGTTAAACGTCATATGTACGAGTATAAAGAATTTCGTTCTTATTTTAGGACTCTCGCTATGTTAGTAATTACTCTGAGGCAGTTTGGTATGTTGATCTGGTATCGATTAATCAAAATATCTATTATTTGTGGATAGGGAATCGATTGTTTAGGTCGATGTGAAACACTGGATCGGTTCGGTAAATTGATACAAGAACACGTCAAATCGGTGCGATTCAATAACACACATAATACGAGAGCAGCACTGAATAGTTCTTTCCCAATAATTCAAGTACATTGATAGTGAGCGATTGCTTGTCTTCTGAGGTTGCATTTCCACCAGAGCTCGATCCCCAGCCAGGAAACTATATTATCTGACACTCAAAAAGTATATATTTGTATCCTATTTCTAATTGTTAGTTATTATCACAAACTAATAAGAAATGCAGTTACCATCTTAACTTAAAATTAAAATACATAAATGAACACAAGGAGGGATGCGGAATAAATGAAAGAAACCACTTTTTGTACAGATATATATTAAAGAAACGTACATAAGTATTGAAAATAATAAATGTAAAGACTATTAGACTGCTTCATTTTACGCTAAATATTGTGCGTGCTCGATACGATGTCAATTCTTGAAAAATTATCAAATTCGTAAAATACACAGGCATGGAAGAACGCTACATTATGTATTTAGTTACGAGTATGTTATTAACCACGTAGTGACGGTGAAAAAATTCAGTTATATCCAGTTCCATTATCATCCCTCGAGTGTCGTAAAGGGCGACGGAGGGAAAGAAGATGGACAGGGCAAAGAGAAGATGAGCAGCAGCATTTTTATGATAACAACTCAAAATAATAAAAAAAACTGGGGTTGCCAATCCTCCTGCAAAGCATGGCAACTATGGCAAGATCCTCCCTATGAGGCAATCTATGGGAGAGGCCTATGGATAGATGTTATTATACACAAGTAATAATTTGACTACTAGATCAATTGACGACTAGATGATAAATAAACGTATGCCTAAATAGTTCACTGTCTGTGTAGGAAGAGTACATCACACTGATAAGGTCTATCTACAAATGTCCGTCAGCAGCGCAAAAATTAATACGGTTTAGTAGATGTTCCAATAAATGTACATATATCAACATAATATCTCAGCGCTGTCAGGGATAGGTCATATCATGACTGCGGTATAATACACGAATTTATAATACTTCGTTAGGTAAGTGCTACTAGTGAATCTAAGCATATAGTATAAATGTGTTAATAGACTGCATCATCTTGTTTTCTCGCCAGTGTCAGATAAACATAGTGATTTATAAATTATTTGGTGTCTGCATACAATTGCCGACAAGTAACTCTGACCAAAGAGTATATAATCACGTCTTAGCCCTGACTACTCTCCCAAATATGGCACGGATATATGTGAACTAACTATATTCGTCTTAAACAAAAAGCAATTTATAACTAGTATCAGGTTTGAAACTAGAGACTGTTTCGACATAGAAATCCCGTAAAAATAAGCGAGTTCAAATGAAAATAATAGAATTTGACAGGAAATATTAAATTTCGCGAAGACTGTGACGCCGCGCCACGGCTAAGAAACTACCTTCGTGTATGAAGTGTAGAGTACAAGGAGAACCATCTTATTAGGGGCGAAAGTTGAAATAGTGTCCTACTATTTACTGAAAATAGATGTTCCAAAACCTACCACAATAGCGCTGGCGTCTGAAAAACTACGATATGAAGATAGCTGTTGTGAACGGAGTGAAGTCAGCTGAATTCAAATATTTAAAAAAATTCATGATTAGAGTAGTTAGTAAAATGCCAGTATACAAAATCTCAACTACTTACGTAGTACAAAACCAAGCGGATTGGTCGGTCCTTGTTTATTTCTCCATCTTATTCTAATTAATTTTGGCGCTTTTTTTTAATTTATCCTATGCTACTGCAGCGCCACCTTTATTGGACACGTTTTTAGGGACACTTTTCATATATAGAGATGGTCCTCCTTCTCTCTACACTCCATACTTTCGTGACAAAGTCTCCGCTTTAAACCCGAGAATACATAATATCTTGGCGATACCCCACGTTTTGTGACAAGACTGAAAGTTTAAGATCATAATCAAGTAATCGATTGTATTATCGATGGCTAATAAATAAATATCTACATAATTATTAATTTTATACATTCACCAAAACATCCTTGAATTTTTCTCAAAAGTAATATTATTCTTCTGTGATGCAACATGATTTTAATAATTATACAATAAATCTACACTACTGCAACGAAATAAATTCTGACGTCAAGCTTTTTTATATTTATCTACTTCTACTAGTGTTTATTATAGTTGATCGAATAAATACTTAAAATAAACTAATATATATTTTAACATTTTAGCTGTTTACTTTTACCAAAGTAGGCACTTACCAAAGTATTAAATTAAAATATTTTTATTATTTGTCTTTATAAGGCTTAATTATACAATTTTTCTAAGTGCGGTTAAAAATCGCAGAAAATTCTTACGCTAGTGTGTAACAATAATATTATGTGAAAAAATTTAGTTTACAAATGTTTCATTATATAAAGTGGCCTGCCACATTATGAAGTTCATTACAATCAGTGTTTAAGGTTATCTACTTCCCTAAATGTATATTAGATAAATTATTATAACATTCATAAATATCAAATTTCATTTTCAAATCTTATTAGATATTAAATAAATATCTTTAATATATAAAGAGTAGATATTGTCAAAAAAAAAAACATGTCAGGTGTGTAAGGTGCGTAAATTATTATTGTTGCTTATTTGCTTATTGCCTTCACGGCGCACGATTATTTGCAACAACTATCTTTACAGGTGGTAATCAGAAGGTGTGATTTTTATTTATAAAGATAGCACCTCCGATATAATTAAATGAAAAGTATTGCCCACGGTTTATTAAAATATATTTCAAGTACTAGGTGAAAATTAACTTTTAATTTCACATACGACGACAACCTTATTATATAATTGTCAAGATTAGAAATGGCAGTGAATACTGAATATTATAATTTTATTTAATATTCCCAATCATAGCATAAATTATATAAAAACTTCGTTTTTTTTTAATAAATAAGTGATTATTTAATTACACGTACACGATAACTACTTTATTCAATGCAATCAGTATTTTTTATGCCGCACACATCGCCGGCGATAAAACTTCGCCTTCGGCTTATGGCAAAGATGCCTGTGTCTGGCCACATTACGCGTTGTAAAGTATATCCATAGTTTATCGCGATAAACAGACTCTAAACACAAAGTGGAATCTATATTACCTATATGGCAGCGAATAATTATTTTTTAACATTCTGTCAGTTTAAAAATAAGAATAAAGTAAGGAAAAGGCGACAGTGGATGATAAATATTTATAAATCAAGAACTACGTAAGCGTTTAGTGTTTACTATAATATGCATGTTGAGTTTAAAATAATAAGGCATAGAAACATATAACTTACTTATTTCATGTTTTAACTATGTTACAGAGACATTTTAAACAAGACATTTTTAGATCCAACTTCTAAACTTTTCAAATATAAAAGGCATCATATTTGAGATCCTTTCTCTTGTAGCCAACTTCTTTCTGGTTGTATAATATCGGCTCGGACTCACAATTACTGATAAATTCTTTTTATATTATCCGTGTTAGAATATCCGTGTTATCGCGATGTGTGCGGCCGCGGCATAAGAGTAGAATAGATAGATAGAGAGATAGAAAATTCTTTATTGCACTCATAATAATTTGGTACAACGGCGATCTTAATGCCAAAAACTAGAATACCGAATGATTTGAAAAGTATTTTCTTTCCGGATACGTTTTCATACACATTCTTTTTCACCTTGTGGAGTATCCTCTTTAGATCATTTAAGAGAAGAACAAAAATATAATATTTGTAATAAGAAATTAGAAGCGTTAATTTTTATATGTGTATTCATATATTTGCGTAACGTAACATAAGTCAGACATCATGTGAATATCCATGGAACGTGTAGCTGACACCAATGTCCTAATATTAAATGAGAAAGATACATTAATTACTGTAACAATAATTAAATTAATTATTATTACAAATTACAGTAATTGAAGGGTTAGTGGGTTAAAAAAAATTAAAATAAAATACATTTAGATAAATACATCCATGACACAGTAATCATACTAATATCTGATATTATCCAAAAAAATTATATTCTGATAAGCACAAAATGTAATAATTAAATAGACGAAGTGCTTTAATGTAATCCTCTTAGAAATCTCCTGCTCAAGTTATAATGTCTAATAGATTTTAGAAAGTGTCACATCGCCGTGGTCGACACTGGAGCTAGTAGAATATCTCTACCTATACGTGTGTATACAGTGTATTTTAAATATTTTATTCTCAGTTTTGATTTATATTATCTTAGTCTTTAGGAGAGTACATTAGTAGAAGCGTCTAAACATCATCATTTAGTTATTAGTACTGCCCGCTTCAGTACGATTCTACTTATGATTCACGCATTAAGAGTCGCTTTTTATTTTTGACACTAGCACTCCTATTTAGGTGCAAGTAATATAGGTACTCCGTAGATAATGCAAACCAGCTGTAAGTGCATAACTTAATAATTTTGTCATGCTGATCAAATTAGATTTTAACGTCAGCGAAGCATTGCTTTCGTATAACATAAGAAAATGTGCCATTTTTAAGTCAAGTTTTATATGCTTTCTACCCTTAAATCTGAGCGATTTGAAGTAGAGCATTCCAGGGATCATAATTTTTAATTTAATTTTTTTTTTCCTTGTCATTTTAAATACTGCCAAATAATCTTTATAACTTTAATTAATACTGTTTATACACATAACCTATAGTTTCTCATTCAAATATTCATGAATCGGAAATGAATATCATCTATCATCAGATTGGACCATAGTCAAGCGTGTGCTTATATTAATTTAAAAATAATCTGGTTTATTTAGAAGTATCTCATAGTCATAAAAATGTATTTAGGATCCATGTTTATATGTAAATATACAACAGATCAAAGTATCCAACTCCAAAAAGTGTTAAAAACATCAACGCGAAGTTTCTAGTCAGTATAAATCCCACCCAATAAGTGTAACCAGAAAAGTTAGTACTTCCAAAGAAGTATACGATGCTCGGCTGAAAGTTGGTCCTTAGACGGCAATTTGAATTCAGTCGAGTTCATCGAAGTCTAGAACCCGGAAGGTCGGGTTCCGTAGGTTGTGTTGCGGCGAGGGTGTGGGCGGCGCCACGACGACGGCAGGCGGGCGCGGCGCCTGCACGGCTCTGTGCTAATCGTCCACCAACTCCCACAGCATGAGGGCCGCTTCGATCCCACCCGTGCTGACCAAGCAACGGTCATTGAACAGGAACCGTGCGTTGTACACGGAACCGGAATAAACCTTCACTTCATTGTATTCTGCCTTTGGACTCGAACAAGGATATCTGAAACAACAAACGGAATTTCATTATCAAAAGGGTGAGCATTTAGAACAAGCATATAAAGTTACAGCTATACATACAGCTATACAGTATACAGCTATATAGTATAAATATTATGATACAGGTAAATAAATAAACTTGAGTGATTAGTTTTACCCATAACTACAAAATTTGTAGATATAGGCAAAACTAACCACTCAAGTGCCGCCTTCAGCTAATTTTGTCATCCTAAGACACTAACAAATGCGATAGTATAAGCAAAACTATTTATTAGAGATGCCGCAAATAGCTGTTATAACGAACAGTCGAATAACGATCTAAAAAAAAATCGTTGCCCCACACTAGAACCACACTTTCTCCTGTATCGCGGGTGCGTTTACAAACATATAAAATCACATACACAAACAACCAGACCCGAAACAATTATCTGTAGGCTATATAAATATTTATACTCCTGGGCAAAGGCCACTTCTCATTTCTGAGAAGGTTTTAGAGCAAGAAAGTGTCCATTGCGCTGTCCCAATATGTATAGGCGGTCTTGACATGCCTCCGAAATGTTTTATTTTTATTTTTTTTTGGACATGCAGGTGTCCTCACGATGTTTCCTTCACCACGGAGCACTTTTTAAGTTATAACTTAAAATTTTAATAAATTTTTTTATTGGTGCCAGGGTTTTTTATAGGGTAGGGTACTGTGAAATATACAGCGAATGCTTTGCCCCTGAGCTACCATGGCTCTAAAGAAGCCATATGACAAAAGCATATGAAAAAATTAAATATGACATTCTCTTAAACAAACTTTATGACATTGGTATCCGTGGTGTAGCTCATAAGTGGTTTGCTTCCTTTCTCAGCAATCGTTCACAGTACGTCGAAATAGAAAATGTAGATCAAGATTCAAAAACCATAACACGTGTCAGGTCGAGGGCCCAGCCGGTGCGGGACTCCATCCCTCAGTGGTCCGTACTCGGGTGTGTCCTCTTCCTTATTTACATCAATGACCTCACCAAGATTATTGATGAGCTTTGTGTGATGTTTGCCGACGATTTTTCCGTTGTGTTCCCTTATATCAATGGTACCAAACTTAATGAAAGAATCGACATAATTATAAACAAAGTAAAACAATGGTTAAGTGATCATAATTTAGAAGTCAATTTCAAAAAAAAAACTAAATTATTACAATTCAGACCACGACAAAAACATGAACTAGATATAAATTATATATATAATGAAACAAAATTAGAATGTGTTCAAAATTTTTCTTTGCTGGGTATAAATATAATTTCGAATGTTAATTTTAAATCACATATTCAAAAAAATAAGTTAAAATTATCACAATTTATATATGCTTTAAGAGAATTAAAAAAAATTACAAATTTAAAAACGGCAGTGACAGCCTTTCACGCTTACGCTCAAGCGTGGTTAAACTACGGCGTCATACTGTGGGGCAACAGTGTAGAATCACACGAACTTTTTATTTTACAAAAAAAATGTATACGCGTACTTGCAAATATCAAAAAAAGAGAAAGCTGCAAATCTCACTTTCAAAGTCTCAAAATTCTAACATTACCGTGCCTATATATATATTAGAAATATGTAAGTTTGTAAAAAGACATCCAAGTTTTTACACCAAAATCATAGACGCACCCCGACACAACGTACCTCGCTATAAGAATAACCTTTTGCAACCAAAATCTAAATTAAAATTACACAGTTCAGGTCCTTACCCGATGTCAATAAAAATTTATAATAAATTGCCGGAATACATAAAAGCCGAAACAAATATTAATAAATTCATAAGATCTTTAAAAGATATACTTATTAAAAAAAGTTATTATTCAATTAATGAATATATTGAGGAAAAGAATTTTTAAGTGTCTGCCCCTCTCCTGTTCATTGCTATGCCTTTCGAGGTGCATGTGATTGTTAGAACTTGCATGTTTTGTTTAGTCTCTAAGTCACAAGTAACGCAATTTGTGAAAAAAAATATATATATAATGTTATTAGAATACTAAAAGTATATTTGAGTTAATTACTTGCAAAAGAAGAAAAAGAAAGAAATCCAGCGTCAAAAAATTGACAAAAACGCATAAATATGGATGAAAAAATACAATTATAAATGTAAATAAATAAGCGATGCAAATAGCTTGGAAATATGTCGAGGCCATCTGTTTTAGATGAGATTAAATGAACTAATTAATTTAATTACTTCTGTGTCTATAATTAAATCAAAAAAATACCTACACGGGGTCTATAAAAAGTAAGTAATACGTGGTAGAGCCATGCTGCAGCTATATTAGTAGTATAGTTGTAGCACGAATGGGTCGGCTCAGCCGGGGAAGGACCACGCTCTCACAGAATACCAGCGTAAAAAAGCAGCAAATGGCTGCTGTGTTTCGTATGGTGAGTGTAGAGAAACGGGAACCTTTTTACTGGAAACGAGGCATTTTATCTTAGTCCTCACGGGTGACAACGCACCTACATTTTATTTGCAAACGAGGATAGATGTAGATGTCTATGGGGCATAGCAACCACTTGCCATCAGGTGGACTGTGTGCTCGCTTGTCACCCTTATCCTATAAAAAAAGTTTAGTTACAGTCCCACATCAATGCAAAAGTCTATTCACATTTCTGAGAGTTAGAGTGCTAGGGAGGTTTGTAGAGCAGTTAGTCCCCCGCGCTACTCCAGTGCATGTTGGGCAATTTCACATGTCCTTAAAATATATTTTTTTAATTTCTTCATTCGTCAAGCCAAGGACAATGTAATTAGCACTTGAAAAAGCAATTAATTACTGGCGCCGGCGGGATTTGAACCAGGGTTCTCGCTTACTGAGAAACTAACGATTCACCCCTGTGCAACTATAGAAACTGTCGTAAGTAAAAAAAAAACTGTCAGTCTTAGGACTGCACGTTGACAACGTATCTGCATTTTGATTCGTATACGAGGGTAGATGTAGATGTCTATGTGTCGCAGCAAAACCACTTACCGTCAGGTGAACTGTGTGCTCGCTTATAAAAAAAAGAAAAAGTAAAAACTATATATACATATGTATATATAGTTTTTTCATCATCCTAAAATTGCGCAACGTACCTAAAGAAGTTTTCACTTCAACAAAGCAAAAATGAACTGCAGGATGGACTTTGCTAAAAACGCTGGAAATATTCTAATATTGATTGTGTTATATTGTGCTAAATTTGTCTGTGTCACGCCAGCATGAATTTAACGCGAGAAAATTTTCGTACAATGATTTTTTTATAACTTTCGATGACATTTAATTCAACAAGAAAGTTATGATAGACTTCGATTGGCCTTTCACTATGAAGCGCCATCTAGTGCCACTGTTTACAACTGGATTAATGAGTTTAAACGTGGTCGCACTAATCTCACCGATGGTCTGCGTGAGAGACGGCCTTCTACGGCACGACTGAAGATAACATCAGTGTTGTGCGGCGTATGATAGAGACTGACAAAAAAGTGACTTACCAGCAGATTCGGACAAACTTAGGTATGGGTATGAGTCAAGTGCACAAAATCCTCCATGAACATTTAGCGCTCAGGAAGCTTTGTGCCCGGTGGATACCTCATAATTTGAAAGAGGTCCAAAAACTCCGTCGTGTTGATCGGTGTCGTGAAATGGTTCAAATATTTAACGGAGGTGACTCAAATGCTGTGTTCGACATACTTACGGGTGACGAAAGCTGGATTTTTTTTTATGATCCTGAAACTAAGAGACAGTCTGCTGTCTGGTTGTTTCCTTCCGAGGAGTTGCCAACTAAAGTGAAGAAAGGTCGAAGAGTGGGAAAAAAGATGGTGGCCTCGTTCTTCGGAAGGATCAGGTCATTACGCAACAATTGTTTTAGAGGATCGAAAAACAGTTACTGCAGTGGTGTGCCGAGTTTGGCCTCGTTTTGTTAGTTATGATGAAACCCTACCTCTGGACTTGATAGAATGACCTGAAGTTGTTCTTCGGTGAACACTACTGGAACTCCTTGAAGAGCACAACTAGGTGTGCCGAGTTTGGCCTCGTTTTGCCCCACACTAGGATTTTCTCCTGTATCGTGGCAGTTTACAAAAATAAATTGCACGAGACAAACATCCACACCCGGAACAATTATTTGTAGGCCACACAAATATTTGTTCCGTGCGGGATTCGAACTCGCGGCCCCCAGCGCTCTACTCTTCAAGGAGTTATGGCCGAGGCCGAGCGCGTAATAAGGCAGAGCAAAGTGTATTTAGTAAAATAAATTAATACAAGGCTGCTAAAACACTAAAAATTTCGTAATTTCGCAACCGAAAAAAAATAATTTTAACTAAACAAAACAAAATTAAACCGCCATTTACATTCCATAACTTTCCACATGATAAATGAAGAGATTAAAAAATAGATTGAGTTAAAACATTGATATTTTCAAAAGTTATCATGTTTACCACTCCATACGGACTTGATAACACACCATAAGGCACCAAAACCACTTTTTATGTAAAAATAGCAATTTATCGATTAAAAAAAACATTAATAAGTTCAACAATCATTTATCTTTCTGACAATGTGCTTTTTATATAATTTATATGTTCAATATGATTGTTATATACGATTTTATGCGACAAAACGTTGAAATCTTGATTTTTAGGCGCTAGTAGAAAAAACCTACGCGCCTAACCTAAAAAGCCTAAGGCATGCAACGCCAGATTTGTGTCCCAAAAATCATTAAATGTACTAATAGAATCAGGCGTTACTTAGCGGAATTAAAGTTAAATAAGCTAAGCGGTCAGCCATCGCAGAATCTATTACACCTGTACACCTGAAGATGCCTCGTGTAGATGCGAAACATGTGTCGTATTGTCGTCAGTGGTATGTCATTCCTAGTTTAGTGGTGTTGGGAGTAGTGGTGCTGGGATTAGTGGTGACTGGGATAGTGCACGCAATTGAGGGAGGGCGGGAGGTGCTCATCAAACTAGGTAAGACACATATCTCTCATCAACAAAACTTTAAAATATATTATATACAATAAACAACAAATTTAAATAAATGTATTAACTATCTGGACATACCAAATATTATCATTATTATTACTGACTATCAAAACATATTATATCTTAGCTAGACATAGGCCTCCCTTATAGATTAACTTATAAGGGGATATTTGTCATAATTGCCACCCTTAGTAGTTGGATTAGCAGGTGCAGTTTTTTATTAGGTGTTAACAGAAAGATACTGTTGCCCATCTAATTCAGTTGCCTCTGTCACCTCTTAACACACCCACGAGATAATATACGGTAGTGGATTTTTTGAAGTGAAACTTCTTTAGTATCGTTGTGATTTAAAACGCGATTAAATGATAAAGCGACACTAAAAGAGAAACATACATCTATATGATTTAGCCTGCGAGAGAAAGAGATAGAATCTATACTAATAATAGCGGAAGAGGCTTTTTGTTCGTTTAAACATGCTAATTTATCTCTGGAACTACCAGTCCGATTTAATAAATTCTTTTTGTATATGATAGCCAGATTCAGAAGGATTAGTATAGGCCATGTTGTTAATGCTAGACATTAGGCTACACTTCTCAGCTGGCCTTTAATATTAATTTTTGTTAAGCAAGTCGGAAGGAAAAGCGCTCAAGAACTGCTTTATACGCGTGCGCTGGCGTAATGGTTAGTGATACGTAAATATAATGTTCTACAAAAATAACGGCGCGCGATCGACGCCTAGCCACCCAATGAGAATAAGCTAGGTGTCATATCGCGCGGCTCAGACGCGTGATATACGCGGGTGAAACCGTGGGACACAGCTAATACACTATAATATAGTGTTTCCTGTTATATCAGTTTCCTCTGTGTGCGGTGCTGTAAAGATGGTTAGTATAACTCTTAACTGTTGAAATAAAAAAATATATATATAAATTTATGAAATATGTAAAATTAATAAATTCAGTAAAATTATCATGTCCAAACCATTCTTAACAATTAACGATTTCATATCTCGCCTCGTTTCCAGTAAAAAGGGTCTTCGCTTCTCTACACTGACCATACGAAACACAGCAACATTAAACTGCTTTTTTATGCTGGTATTCTGTAAGAGCGTGGTCCTTCCCCGGTCGAGCCGACCCATTCGTGCTACAACCAATAACATAGCTGCAGAATGGGCCTAACGCCGCCACTACCGGAAAATGTGGTACATGTGACAAGGGAAAGCGTTCATATAATATGTAAAAATAGGTAAAAAATTTATTTTTACACACATTTAGGAAGAGAGTTACGCATGAGGTATATGAAATGATACTCTCGAAAATAAATTAATTTTTTTCAATATATTTTAATTTACTTAAACCTTACATTGAGATGAATCGCGTGAATGAACTTAGCTCTGTAAACCCTCTCTTTAGATCCTCGTCTGTATTATGTGTACTTACCTAAATATACGTAAGTATCCATCGGAGTCACCACTGATCAGAAGGTCGTGCGCAGAGGAACGGCTCGCTGCTGTTATCAGTGACGTCATTGGATAGAAGCGGTTGTTCCACATTCCTTCAGAAATATAACAAAATATTTGTATTATGAAAACAAACTGTTTATGTTTATTCGTGTCCGACCGAAACTTCGGCTTCGGCCAAAAAAACCACCTTTAGTGAAACTTTCGGCTTCGGCATGATTGCGCCGAAGTTTTGGCCGAAGTCGAAGATTTTTTCTAGCAAGTGCCGAAATTGAACGAACTATCACAAATGAGCGAGAGCGCGATTGACATAACGTCACAATTTTTATCATCTCTAGATCAACTTCCAGAGATGGTTAAAATTACTTTTCTATATTATACAGTTATTATAAACCTTTAATTTAAAAGTTTTAAAATCATTTAAATCCTTAACTTCTATAAATTCATAACAATAAATAATTTATTGTTATGAATTTATATCCTTAAATGGTTCGAATTTAAAATATTTTTACCTGATACTAGAAAGCCGATAGTGGAATTGTAGGAAGACCATTTAACGTCCTTCATCGCTATTGGACTTTTCTCAGGAGATAAAGCTTTAATATCCCCTACAGATAAAAAAAGAAAATATATCATATATGCAGTTTTAAATAAAGTCAGGATTAACCTATGTTAACACTACTCACAGAACGACAAATCGTAGTCGGCGGTAACCGTTTGTAGATAGTTTCCGTCGAGACTCCAATCAAGCTGAACTAGTGGTTGAGTCCCACGAATTTTATTTGACTTTTTATATGAAAACCCATCTCGGGATACTCGAAATAGATATATGCTGCCATTTTGTGATGCTATTGCCAGAATGTCTCCAGCTGAAAAATAACCAAATAAAACAAAACAAAATGTAATTAATATGACAAGATAAATTATTATTAAAAATGCAGCTCAGCTCATGCAAAGTTTTTTTTTCGAAATTTTTGAAGTTCTATTAATTTATTCTTCTTTAGGCACATTTAAATTTTAATATAAAAAGAATCCTATGCGTCAAAAGGTACAACCACCTACAACATTATTGTCAGCCATTTTTAACTCACTGTTAACTTTTTTAAATACTCATTAGGAATACATATCTTAAGGAGTTAAGGGAAGTTCATCTAGCAAATAAAATTCATTTTCAAATTTAAAAGTGGATACCTGAATTGTACTGTAAACAGTTCAGAGGCGATCCACAAACTCTTAAAGTGGCAACATGAGCCCCAGCGTCAGCGTTCAACACCACTAAGTGACCCTCAGTGCTGCCTGCTGCAAGCGCCCCACCGCTGGGATGCCACGCGATTGACACACATTCATAGCCCACCTAAAAAGATATTTAATAATAATATAATGCTTATTGCACAGTTGTAACACTTACTTGTGTTAGGGGTATGTGAAATTTGATATTGAAGTTTTAATTAAAGTAAGCAAGGCAGTCACCAATTATGCAAAAAAAAAGAAGTTATTTGAGGATGAATGTAGGTGTCTATCGGCCATAGCATACACTACAAAAAAGGGTGACAAACGAGCACACATTTTACCATCAGGGGGACTGTGTGCTTGATTTAAAAAAGGGATTAAGACAAGAATAACGAAATGCTATGAAATATGTTTAACTATGAAACTTGAGATTCTTATCCTAAAATTGCGGTGATGATAAAATTCGATCGTTAACTTATTATTAGATATTGGAAGGACGTCTACAAACAACGTGTACCTGAGTGGCAAATAGCAGTTTATGACCTTTCCATAATGCTATATTCTTGTCATGACCTGCCGTAGCGAACATTTCGTCATCCGGGTGAACAGCCAGCCCCATGAGTTGTTTATGATGACCAAACACAATCTGAAATAAATTTGACACTTGTGAACTTGTTGACTCATACATGACTTTCGACAAATGGTCTTATAACAATCTTGTTTAAATACCAAAACCATTTTGTAGAACAGTTTTCGAACAACATTCTCCATTATACCCGCATGTAACTGTATATCATCCAGTAACATTGTTAAATCTGAAGTGGATATTTTCATAGGTATTTTGGCCTCCACGAAAAGCAAATAGTATCGATATCTTTATTACAAGTATTTAATTTCGACTTAATTTAATTTGCTGTTCCCTGCGACTTCTCCCGCGTGTTATTTTGGGTTTTAATATTTTTGCGCGAAACTCTAATTCTTTTTCTAAACTTACACTACTTACAGTCGCTTCTACGTTGAAATTAGAATGGTTTAAAGATATAATACGGTGCTAAAACAATAATAAGGAAAAATTAATTTGAAGGAATTACAATTTTTGCATTACCTGATTGAATCTTCTTTGAAGCGATCCTTCCATGATATTGTTCTTTGTGGTACCAATGTACAGATTGCCATCGTTTCGGCCTGGCCTTTGAGGATAAATACTCCGAACGCCTCCCGCAGTTTCGGGCAGCTGCAAGTTAACTTTATGTTCAGTTATATTTTTGGCTTGAAAATTCTATAATTATGTAAAAATTTCCGTTTAAACTAGATATTTGATAACGAGTAAAAGCTGGTACCACCAGTTTGACCAAAGAATCAAAACAACTATAATGAGGGCATCCACAAATTTTTCTACTACCAGGGCAGCGCTACTACTTAAGAATGATGTTGAAATAGTAGTTGAAATTCTAGTACTTAAGAATGAAGCTGAAATATTTGAAAGATTTCATAACGGAAGAAGTAATTATTAGAAAAGTGCAGAGATAAATGTTTCTTTTTGATATACTTATATCTATATAAATAAATAAAATTGAAGTGTCTGTTTGTAATGTCGAAATAACAGCTTTTTACTATATGCATATGAAAGTATATATGGTACTTATAACAAAAACACGATTTTTAAAATTTTTGTCTGTCTGTCTGTCTGTTTGTTCCGGCTAATCTCCGAAACGGCTGGACCGATTTTGACCGGACTTCACTGGCGTATCGTAAGTATCGTATATACTTTCATATGCATAGAGTAAAAAGCTGTAATTTTGATATTACAAACGGACATTTCAGTTTTATTTATTTGTATAGATTAGAAACGAAATAAAAATATTACTGATATTCAAAAAGTAGAAGAATTTTAAAACGTGATAAAAATATGTAAAAAATTAAAGAATATGGCACTGATTCATTGTTTTGTTAGTACACTAGAAACCGAGATTTTTTTTAATAAAAACGCAATTTTTCATTGATGATGCTACTGTGTGACAATCTGCTTATCTAATAGGTTTACCTTAGTTCTAACTAGCAACATCTAGCGAGTGTAAGATTATTATTTGAACTCATTATATCGCAGCTCAGCGCTGCCGTAATGCTTAGGTATTTTTGGTCTGTTGTTATCATTACAATAATTCCCATTCGTTTGCCATGTCATTAATTAATTTAAAAAAAAATATGAAACTCAAGTGTAAGAAATGTAAGTATACCTTTGTTTCGGTGATCTTTTTGTAGTTTTGTAAGGAATCCCAAGCTGCCACTTTCCTATCCTTTTCGCCACCAGATATTAATGTGCCTTCTGACAGCATCACTAGAGAACTGATACCTTTTATGTGGGCCTGTAAGCACGAAGATCAAAATAACGGAATTACATATTTTTTGTAGTAACAGACTGTAATCTGCATACGTTCCACTGCTGAGCACACTCTCCAGACTTGAAGGTTATCCCACGATATTTTCGTTCTCCACCAAGTACACGGTAAAATAACACGAAAACTGCAAATAACAATGTCATTGGTGCCGGCGGGTAACAAACCCCGTTTGGTAGCGTAAAGTAAAAGCAATGGCGAGCCTATAACCTCTGATTTACCGTTTCTTATAAAAAACAAAACAAAAACACCATGTACTAAATTGCACACGTCTTAAAGCTGGTGGCGGACTATAAATAAATAAATAAATAAATAAATATATATATATATATATATATATATATATATATATATATATATATATATATATATATTGTTACGAGCTTGGGGTCTTGGGATCTTGGATCAAGGATCTTGACTCTCCTAGTTCTGCTACTCGATACTAGAGGGCGCTAGTGGTAACTAGTGTTGCCATGTACAGGACATTAATATTAATATACGTAGCTTAATACCTACTTATTGTAAATTCATTCTACATAATATATATTTTATTTAAAAATAACGAATATTAAATATTTACCATATTACCAGAACAGTTACAACAAAACAGTACCTCAAACTCCATGCGAACAAAATAAGCACCATCACTGTCGACGCTGTACACAGTTATGAAGCCGTCACTGTCCGCCGTCACTACGTCACCATCTGGTTCGAACTGCAGCGCGGTGACGTGGGTACGGGATGGCTAACAAGGAAACAGAATAAGAGTTATAAAGGAGCACACATTCCACTTGATGATAAGTGGAGCCAGTAGCCTATAGACACCTAAATCTACCCTCTATTAAGAATCAAAATTTAGATGCGTTGTCACACCTGAAGACTAAGAATATAACGCCTCGTTACCAGCAAGAAGGATTTCGGGTTCTATAGAACCCGAAATCCTTCTTGCTGGTGTATTTCATATGGTGGGTATAGACCCACCATATGAAATACAGCAGCACTAACCTGCTGTTCTGCCCGGGGGGAGATCTCTTTATAAAGGTTGTTCGCAGCACTGGAATAATAATGCTTCCTGTTCCTTCAAGCTACTCTCTGCGCTACAGTATTTGGCAGGGCTCTGAGCCTTACTGCTCGCCTCTGCTTCACGGCACTCTCGCAGATCACTTGCCTTCTTCTCGACTCACCGCAGACTTTAAAGGCAATTCCCTGGCACTTGCAAATTCGTCGACATCTAGACTGCACTATCGACCTCCGGTCTGAGCACATCAGAACATCCGAAGAACATCCACATCAGAAGGTTGCATGTTCATATCACGTCGGGGTCACCACTGTAGCCGTAGGAAAGAAAAGTCCTGTCGGGCAAGGTATTCTGCCCGGGGAGCGGCCAACGCTCCGAAGGGTAGTTCGGAGCTATTCTATATATAATGCTTTAACTTCGGAACTTTGTTAGCGCGACTTAGGCTTTCGATGTGTTCCGCTTGTGGCGCGACGACAGCACCGCCACGCTGCTATTTCTCGCTGAACGCTCTCACAGAATACGTGAGAGCGTTCTTCCCTGGTTGCCTCATTCGAGCTATGACGAAAATATGACTGCAGCGTGGCTCTACCTCGTGAAAACATTTCTTTATTTATAATTTTAACGAAACTATAATATCAAGATCGGAAATTCGCCAACGTTTTTTTTTATAGCTCGTCTAATCTAGTTATAGTAGAAGGTGATACAGCAACGTACTATGATAAACGCTGCAGAATATTACAGCTGCAGCTGGAATCGCTTTGCTCCGTTCTACACACGGCTGCTGGAAGGACCGCGTTCGCACAATATATTAGGGAGAAACATAACGTTAAGTACTTGGATTACCAAGATTTGCTCAGCGTTATACGGATAAAAAAATTAAATATTTCATCCACATTGTTAGTGCCGCTTGCATTAAAGTAAACGATTTATGTATGTATTTTTTATGGAATAAGGATGACAAACGAGCACACAGTCCACCTGATGGTGAGTATATATCTATCTTGAATTAAAACGATTTCTGTCAGATTCCGTGGCAGCCTATCCGTGTTGGAATCCAATCAACCGTTTATTTTCATGCTAAATCCCATAAAATATGTCAAAGTATTGTATTTTTCAGCTAAAAACAAAGTTTCTTTTTTCTTTATTTAAAATAGCGCCATAGTTTCGTATGGTAGTGACGAGAACCCCAGACCTTTTTACATAAAACGAGGCATTCTCAGCTTAATCTTCACAAGTGATAAGGCATCAGCATTTTCATTGGTAATCGAATATTGATGTAGGCAACTTTGAGCCATGTTACCCACTTGTCATTAGCTGGACTGTGTGCTCGTTTACTTCTATAACGAAGAAAAGAAAAAAGATTTCTAATAAATAATCCTCACTGGTTTAATTATATCGGTCCGTTCAAAAAATCCATCCTTCCGACGATTCCAGAATGCCAAATGTCCTTTTCCGTGAGTGATGAGAAGGTTGTCATCCAGCGGGTGGAAAGCTGCACCAGTTAGCTCCTCTTGAAGCGTCTGCAATGCCAAAATAACCTTTCATTTATCACTAATATTAGGCTAAATAATTACGAAGTAATTTTAAATGCAGTATCGATAACAATTGATTTATATTTAAGGTATTGTTGAAAACAAATGATGTAAACAAGTCTTATAACAATGTTTATATATTTCTACGAATTCTGGCAGTGTACACATAACATACATAAACTCTCACGCCTTGCAAATATTGGGGTTGACAGAGATTACGGACCATTTGGCACGATCCTGACACACCTCTCCCGCTTCGTTTACATCCTTATTCCTTATATTTTACCATACATGCTCGTCAGTTAAGGCTACTCTTGATTGGGCCTATCTTCAATATATCCCTACTTAGGTCGAAAAACTCCCTACTATGGCATCCCTTTTAGACTCTGTGATTATCGCGTTATCACATATTATTTCTACGTGTCCAAACGACCAAAGCATTTTTTCTTAATTTTTAAATTAACGCTACTAATATTTACGTCAACCACTCCTACTATTCTCAAAATATTTGTGTAGAAGTAGTTTAAGTGTGCAAAATTTGACACTATGACTGTGTACAATACTTTCGCATCTGTACTCTCCATAAATGGACTACTTATTCTATTTAAACGTTGTAATAATACTTTTTACTATTCTTATTTATTGTAACTATAATCTCTGAAGAAAGTATGTATTGTAAAGAATTTTTAATACCCTACTAATCAAAATACTTTAATAATTTTTTTGTTAAAATTACTATTCAATGATTTTTTTAATAACGGCATACTACTGCAACGAATAAAAAAGTAAAAAAATAATAATAAAAATTATGTTTGTTATCCGACAGGCAAAATAATGTTAAGTGATTATATTGACAACATTTTACAAAATATTTTTAACTTATCATAGCAGAGTAGTACAGAAAGATATGTAAAAATAACACTATTTCATATCAAACATTCTTCGTAGCAACGCTGTAGCAGCGTAGCAAATACGACAAAAATGTTGACGTAGAAGGTGTTGACTCAAACATAATATTTTACGGTATTTGGCTCTTTGATTTTATATAATTATGTAGGCAAAAGAAGATTTTAAGTTCATGTTATCATGAAGTCAACATTTCACAACAAATACGTTAATATTTTTTACTTCTCGTAGCAACATAGCCCAGAAAGCTATACAAATAATAAATTAAGTATTAACAAATTTTCTCCATAGCAACGATATAGCAGTGTAGCAAATTCGAAAAAAAAATGTTGACGTCGTAAGTGTCGAGTCAAACATATTATAATTTGTACTCTGTTGGCTCAATGATTTCTAATATTATAGGCGAATATGGATAACACAGAATTTTAGAGTATCATAAGTCCATTGCTGAACATAGGCCTCCCCATAGATTGCCACAAAGTATAGTCCTGAGAAACATGAATCCATAGACTACGTGCGTGTTCTATCAGGACGTTACTCCATTTATTGGGGATCCAAATTTGTATGAAACTGAATAAGTTGTATTTAATACCGGCTTTTACCCGCGACTTCGTCCGCGTAGAACTATAACAAAAAACCTACACATTTATAAAAGTGGTCATTGGGCAAGTAGTTTTATTATCGGACAACTGATTTTTAAGTCAGTTTTTTGCTATTATCTCGAAGACTATGTGCAATGCGGGAAAATGCTGAAAATAAAATGAGAACTATTAATTTCACCTAAAGAAGGTTTTATTATTATATATATATATATTAGATGCTTAGAAAATAAGCAGAGGATTTTTGAAACAGTGCTAAATATAAAAAAAAAATATTTTCAATAAGATATCGTTAACATTAGCCTTGGTATTAGCGTTGAATATAAGTATATATGGTGGTGTTTCAGCTGCGTTACAGTGGACTAACTATAAATTATTGTTATAACGAATCGATTTAGGCAAAAAATAACGACCTTCGGTCAACGTCCCCATACCTCATGTTCATGGTTAAAATCAGTTAAATCACCGCACATATCTCGAAGTGTGACGTAATTTATCGTGCCGAAGCGATCGTAGACAATCTTAATAATATACAGGGACCTTGAGACCGCATAAAGGGGCTACGAGCTACGACAATCACGTCAATAGCACTTTATTTATTTATTCTTTCACAATTCTGTTGAATACTTCAATTATTTATAAATTTAAAGTACATGCAATGATAAGTGCAATAAATAAATCGTTACTATTAATACCAGTATCAGTCCTATTACACTGTTTAGTCAGTCCCACGGGTGGAATTATTTAAGTTATTAAAACTTTAGTTTTTCTTAAATTTGAAAAAAAGTGGTTTTTCTAAATAATTTATTTACTTACATAATTATAATTATATATATTTTATAATTCTTAATTATTTAATTAAAATTTTTCGTAATATATCAAAAGCTATTTTTATATAGTCAACGTCTGTACCAGATATCGTAACCATTCAGTAGATATATGCTAAAACTCCTGAGATTATTACGCGCATTGAACATTTTGATACTTTATATTGTTTATATTTTTATTCTATTGTATTTCAGTAAGAAAGGTAAGAAAACCAGTAAGCATTTTTACAGGCTGTGAGACTCTTCTATATAAGTACTCACCATTGACTTCTGTATTTGATGTTGGTTTTTTTTTTTTTATAGTAGAGGGGGCAAACGAGCATGCGGCTCACCTGATGGTAAGTGACTACCGCCGCCCATGAACAACTGCAACACCAGATAATCGTATCGCAGATAAGTCGTATCGGTCCGGAAAAATCGCTGATGGTAATCGATTCCACAAGGAGGTCGTGCGAGGAAGAAAACATCTTCTAAATCGCACAGTGGTGGACCGCCAATCATCCAGATGGTGTGGATGGTATCGGGAGTTCTGCCGCGATGTGCGTTCGTGAAATTTGGCGGCTGGGATTAATCCGAACAATTCCTCAGAGCACTCCCCATGGTAGATGCGAAAGAAAATGCAAAGGGATGCAACATCTCTTCGCAGTGCCAATGAATCGAGCCGATCGGAAAGGGCTCGGTCGTCGACAATTCGAGCCGCTCTGCGTTGGATGCGGTCAAGTGGAAGGAGCTGGCACTGGGGAGCCCCTGCCCAGAGATGTCCATGGAACGTAGGAGCCACATAGCATCAAATGGTTAGTTGGCACATTTGTAAGTCAAATATTATAAAAAAATCTCTAATTGAGTTGATACAGTACCGACCTATCTGGCAATCTTACGCCTCGGTTTGATAGTGGACTTATGACGGCTATAATGCTGATGAGATTGATGGTGAATTCTTTTACAATCTACAATTAAATTAAAAAACAGGGAATCCTGTAAAGCAATTTTTTTTAGGAAAAAAGAAATTGATATGATTTATGCACCAGTGTGTATAATAGATATAATTTATACACTACCGTTACCGTAACAACCAATTAGAGTCCACTGCTGAACATAGGCATCTCCCATAGAATGTCTCGTAAGGGGGATATTTGCCATAGTTGCCACGTGTGGCAAGCGGGTTGGCAACCGAAGTTTATTATTTTTAGTTGTTATTAAGAAGACGCTGCTGAACATCTCCAACGGGATGATATGGGATAGTGGATATTCTTACACCACCACTCCAAGATAATTTATACACTATGTATTATATAAATGAATTACGCAACGAGGAAAATGGGGTAATAGTTAAGGATATTGACCGCACACTCAAAATCCGTGGGTTTGAATTCACTAATTGACTACTGACGTGCACTTCTTCATTTATAAACATTACATTACACTATTAAATTAAATTTTACATATTTTTTTTGTATTTTTATTTCTCAACGCATTATTAAATTTTAACCTTATTTGGGTGGTTAAGGAAACATGAAGAGTATCAACATTACTGTAAGAGTACTTTATAAAAAATATTTAAATACTCACAGCGACTTTTCCTAGTAGATGTCCCCACTGCCATTGCCATACAGACAGAATGCTTTCGCGGCCGGCGTCTACAGCCAGCACGTAACTGCCACCGTTCTGTAACAATTAAGGTTAATGTGTTGAGGTCTTTTTTTGTATAGGATAGGGTGACAAACGAGCACACAGTCCACCTGATGGTAAGTGATTGCTGTGACCCATAGACATCTACATATATCCTCAATAAAGAATCAAAATACAGATGCGTTGTCATTCGTGAGGACTAAGATGGAATGCCTCTTTTCCAGTAAAAAGGGGTCTCTGGTTCTCTACACTCGCCATACGAAATACAGTAGTGTCAAGTTGCCATTTTACGCTGGTATTTTGTGAGCGCGTGCTCCTTACCCGATCCAGCTGACCCATTCGTGCTACAACTATACTACTAATATTCAGCATTCTACATTCAGTCTAAATTATTTTTCAAAGAGTGACATACGAGTACATAATCCCCCTGATGGTTATGGGATGATGTGGTTCGAAGATATAATTACATCTATTCTCGATTAAGAATCAAAATGCAGATGCGTCGTCACCCGCGAAGACTAAGATGGAATGCCTCTTTTCCAGTATAAAGGGGTCTCCGGTTCTCTACACTCACCGTACGAAATACAGTAGTGTCAAGCTGCCATTTTACGCTGGTATTCTGTGACAGCGTACTTCTTCCCTGGTCCAGCCAACCCATTCGTGCTACAACTATACTACTAATATAGCTGCAGCATTCTACATTCAGTCTAAATCATTTTTCAAAGAGTGATATATAAGCACATAGTCCTCCTGATGTTTATGGGATGATGTGGTTCTAAGACATACATCTATTCTCGATTAAGAATCAAAATGAAGATGCCTTGATCCCTGAGAACTAAGATGGTACGCATCGTTGCGAGTTCGAGTTGCGAGGTCTTCAGTTTGTTCCCATTTGTTCCGTGCTTCGTCACGTCACTTTAGCACATACGAAACACAGCAGCACTATGCTGCTATTTCACGCTGGTGTTTTGTACGAGCGTGGTTCTTTATTGGTGGGGTAACCCAATCGTGATGCAGCCATAACACGTTACAGCTCAACCACGTACAAAGTAACCATCTGTTGTTTATTTATTAAATGAGGTTATTATTTCATCATATGAATTTAAACCAATCCGATGTTAATTACGTATTGTAGTTGGTTTAAATTTTTCGAATGGCTTCTAAACACGGCATAAAACGTTAGTTTCACATTCAATAAGTTTCGCGTATAAATAAAAAAGGTGACAATTTTCTTTTCCGATTTTCAGGGCTCAAACAAAATATTAAATAATAAAGTTAGATTTAAAAAAAAACAACTCACATTAATCATGAGTTGTGATGATCCTAGTAAGAATCATTGTCAAAAATTATTGTATTGTCATCAGCTATTAATGCGTCTGCAAAATTTTAGGTTATTCAAATGTTCAGAAGGGAGTAAATATTGATTTATATAAGTCAAACTAATACACAAAAGCAGGTTTAAAATGTGTGCTTAAAGTGCGAATATTCCGACAGGTGTTCGGTGCGCTTCGCTCACCAACTGCGAGAAGGCGACTGCGGAGACGCCGGCCTCGAACTCGGCCATGCCGAACACGTGCAGCGTCTGCAGCGTGTCGGCGCTCCAGATGCGCACGTGCGCCTGCGCGCGCCGCCCGCGCCCCGCGCGCTGCCCGCTCGCCACCAGCTCGCGGGACGGATGCAGCTCCATGCTGTCAATATCACCAGTTAAGAAACACTCTGATCATACTCTTAAAATCTCTCCACTATAACTAACACCGTCAGAAGGATTGCCTAGTAGTGGAAAGTACTAGAAAAATCTTATTGCTCTTTATATACAGCGATATAGCCATCATATTTAACCAGACCTGCAACTCACAGAAGCGTCAAAATGTTAGACGTCAGGTATTAAGATAGTCAATCCCAAGCTTGATAATAAGACTAATCTTCCATACAACGGGAAAGGTCCATATTCAGCAGTGGACTTTAAGGGGTAGATGAAAAAGAGCAAGAAGGATGACAAAAGAGCATACAGTCCATCTGAGTTTAAGTGGATGCTATCACCCAGAATACTAGCAGCGATTAAGAATCAAAATGCTGACGCGTTGTCAAGCCGGTAAACGTTGGGTAAATAACGAAGCCAAGCGTACTCACATCACTGTATTATCATACTATCAGTTTTTATCATTTAAAACTTTAATAATTCATTGATGCGTTTGCGTAAAATTTTATTCAATCTATCATTTATATATTATCATGATATTATTACCTATGTTAGAAGAAACCCCCGTCCCACATAGCTTTGGTTCTTCGCGTCAGATTTGACATAACGACCTAGGGCTATAATCCTAATTAAGTAAATTATATTAAAAGGTTTCTTAAGCTGAACGCACATTTGTCCGCACCGTACGCATCGTAGGCGCCGGACGCGCCAAGTTTTAAAGATGGCCTCGCACATTTGCCCGTACGCACCGTCCGCGCCGTACGCAAATCTTTTGTAATACCAACAACTTTTGTAGTTTTTTCCAACCACTGGTATGAAATGCTACAGTAAAATTGATCGCTCGAAATCACTATGGAAAGAAATATAGTAATAGCCTGCTTATTGGCATAGGAAGAAGAAAATAAAATTCGAAGAAAAAGAAGATTCTGGATTTATAATATTAATTTAAAAAGGCAATTGTATGGAGAATATGAAAGGGATAATATACTTTATTTAAAGGCTTATTAAATGATGAGATGATGAACGATTTTTTTAGATATTTGCATTTAAAATATAAAAAATTTCAAGAATTGCTACATATACTAAAACCATATCTTTCATTCATTTCATTAAGTAATCAAGTATAATTGGGTTTTTTTTTAATTAAATTTAACTATTTTTTGTTAGTTCAGTATTTAAATAATTTATCGCTAAGTCTACATATTGATAATCGATGCAAAAAAATTCAAATTATGTATAAATAATTACGAATGAATTAAAAGTTATAAAATACAAAAAATATCATGTAAGTCGAAACCACCAGTTACAGTGGAAAATCCACTAAGTTGGCAACATTAGACAACACTGAGTATCAGCACGCGCCGCGCTATATGACGTCATCAGCATTCGTCCTTCGATATCGTATACCTACCGCATTTTATAAAATTCGGCGCGTACGATGCGGGTGTAATGTGCGAGGTTTCATATGATTTCATACAACGAATTCTAAAATTCGGTGCGTACGGCGCGTACGGCGTGTGCGGCGCGGACAAATGTGCGTTCAGCTTTAGACGGCCTAAAACGATTTATTTTTGAATTTATCCCTTTCCTATGCGACGCCCTTGACGTTAAAGCACAGTGCGATACGAAATGTCAGTTTGACAGTCCTATTCTTAACTGGCGCGCATATTACTAGTCATTCATTGACTTATATATTTTGTAGTTATTACTCACCATTGAATATCTTCTGTGTGGCCGGTGTAATGTCTCTGTGACTCTTCGTCTCGATCATACATAACAGCAACAGCTGCTACGTAGTAAAGTAGTTCTCCTGTTGGAAGTACCCATAAGTTGCGTCGAGTGTCAGCTCCTCTATAACCGTAACTAGGATAAAAGAAAATAATTCCCTCGTAAAAATAAATAAAATAAAATGCTTTTTCTTTATACGAATATTAAGATATAACTTTACATACAGGTTGTTTATGTTTCGGGAAAGCCGTATTGTAAGTTTTTTGCACCAACATAAAAGTTAAAATACGAATGTACGTAATACAATTTTTAATATATTTTTTTATATAATTTACCTTTACACTAGGATATCCTGTGCCGTGGAGACGTCTTACATATTATAGTAATTGCACCAGGATAGACATAAAACCAAAACAATAATTTAGGCCATACAAACACTTCCTCGGTGCGGGATTCGAACCCGCGGCTTAGCAACGTCGCAGCGCAGCGGGACATTTAGCCACCGAACCAACTTATTATATATATATATATATATATATATATATATATATATATATATATATATATTAAAAATCTATTACGATTAACGAAGCTGGAAATTGAAAAAAAGCGTTGAGTATATGAGCGTTAATTTTTGGCGAGAAATACGTAGAAGAAATTAGGTGAACTGTGCTCGAGTTTTTTGACTGTACTTCTTTTTTACACTAATTATATACAAAAAAGGCAACCTTACTTTGGCGTTTTATTTTACACCGCTTACTCTTTGGTTAAGTTATAGTTTGATAAATGAGATTTATCAAACTTAGTCCCAGCGACGTAAATAAAATACTTACACCCAATCGAGCTGCAATTTCTTCTCCGGCGGTGAATTGTCAATGGGAGCATGGTGAATTGGTGGGTAGAAGGTACGCCGTAGACCACGGATCGTTAGGCGAATGGGTTCTTCTTTCAACACTTCCAAGAGTGTATAATCTGCACCAAACCAAAGAGAGATATTACAATATTAATAATGCAACCCAACATTACACCAATATTAGTTAACTACGTGAAACTTATATACGAGTTTATTGTGAAATTTTGGCACTTTTAAACAATGAGGTCCTAATGAATGCCAACCGTTTGGATTTATTATTTAATATGCTAATGCCTTAGAATATAATAAACATCATCTTGCAGGAGCATAGATGATGTTTATTACATTTAAGTACAAGTTCCTATTCAAGTTCTTTATTTTCTGTTTTTCTTTTTATATCTGCTCTATTCTTGTTGTATTCGGAATAGTATATAGGTATTTTTTATGTGCCTTGGTACATTTATGTATATATGCAGGTATATATGTGCCGGTAGCTTATGGATAGCTGGTTGAACCTAAGTAAATTCGGCAATTCGGCTTAAAGTCGTATCATATTATGTATTACGTTATTTAATTATAAATTATAAATTACGTTATTTCTATCAGGCAAACTTTTTGAACAAAGAAAACTAAGTAAAAAAATTATAATATAAAAACACAAGATGATGACAGTTGATGATAGGTATCATATATACAATTATGAACGGGAATTATGATGAAAAATATTAGAGCTCCAAGTAATAAGCTTTGTGTAGATTTTTGAATGAAAAAAAGGGACTGAACACGTCGAATATATAAAAGCAAGAAGTTCTACAAGCATACAGCTGTAACCGAGAATGATTTATTGAAGATGGAGAATGAATGTGCTAGAATACGAAGCGAAAGATTTTAAGTGAAACATAGATAACGATCGGGAGAGGAGATGAACTCAAAACGGTCATTCAGGTAAAGAGGAGTAGAGGGATTGAACAGTATGCAGTAGAAAGCAGAAAGGATGTGAGTAATGCTGTAAAGGCGGTACGTCAACCACTTGAGACGTTTACGAAATTCGAAATTCGAGTCCAAATATGAATCGTAAGCATACATTTTGATATCGCTCAAGTTTAATTAACTGTACTTCGGTAACTTCTAGGTAGCAAATATCGGCATAGTCAAGAATAGGCTGGAGTAGGGATTGAGCAAGAGCAACTTTAGTTGCAGTAGGAAGAAAATTTCTTTTGGTTGCGTAGAGAACTTAGCGCTACAAACATTTTCCTACTTACTTCATTAATCTGCGGTGACCATGTTAGACAGGATTTCATATATATGCCGAAATTCTTAACTTTTGTATCATTAAAAGAGTGTGAAATGTGAATGCCATTGAGATGAATAGGTGATATGAGAGACAAATCAACCCTAGCAACTAATCTAAAACTATCAATAATTATTTTAAGTTATTAATTTTGGAAAACTAACCTGAATTTCTTATTATTTCGCCTTCTGGAGCATACAACGCCCTCGGTCTGCTTTTGCTCCTTGCCCGCCTTCCACGCGTATCGTCTGATACAGGTATTGAAGCCACCGTAGCTCTTGACCGTGACCTGATAAGTAAGAAGATAATGACAAAAACTACTTCCTTGTCGACATACCACGTATTCGAAGCAAACGATTTGACTTCACAAAGCCTATCAAAGGCATGAACATAGGCCTCACTCGTCTATAAAAAATAATAATATGAAGTTACCTTCTTATTGGCGATTCTATAGGGAGAGGAGCACTGACACCAGGACTGTGAGCCGGCGGTACCATTAATGTGCCGAGGTAGAACGTCTCTACATCTGCGAATTCGTTGCGAAGTTGCGAGAAACTTCTCACCTATATTAGAAATGTTAAGTTATTATCTATACAAGATAAAAGTTATCATCGCCTTATATATGTCACTGCTAGGCACAAGTTTTCTTTCATTTATAAGAGGGTTATTGAGAAGTTAGTCCGCGCTGTTCCAATGCGTGTTGAAGGACTTCACATGTCTTTGAAAATGTTTTATTTATTTCTTAGGAATGCTTATTTTTTATCACAATTTTTTCTTCATCGCCGTGAACCTGGTAAATCAACACTTAGAATTGTTACTAACAATTTCACCGGTGACTGCAGGTATCGAACTTATATGACTGGTTTACTATGAATTTTTCGAGCGCTTAAATACGAGTACCTTAACTTTCTTATTTATAATTTTAACTATCTAATTTTGTCCGTTTTATGCAACGCATGTTACATTTATCTACATGCGGTATGTAGATTAAATACAAATTAAGTGGAATCAGTTACCAACGTCTGTTTTCCATCCAATCACAAAGTGGGTTCAACGCAAGAGTGAATAGGCTGAAAGCTTTAAGCTAAGTCAGTTCACTTTACCATCTTCGCGTGCATCACCACTTACCATCAAGTGGGATAGTAACCAAACTCTGGCTTAGAATAGTTAAAAAAATTAATGATTAAGTGATTTATTTTAAATTATAATTATTAAAAATACCAAAATTAGACACTTAATTATCATATAGTCCTACTCCCCGCGGTATCGTGCCAAGAACGCTGGCTGCGTTTCCCCACTGAATGGATATACTTAGCCTTTGAATTATTTAATTATTTAAATTCAGATTTACTAATAAAAGAATTAGTGTTGTTAATATTTAAATTTGAATGGAACTGTATCATAAAGTATGGTTTTATTTTATTTCTAATATAAATATTTCATGTCAATACCTCTTGTCCTGTGATTGTGTACATCCTTTTAGCTCCGCTCATTTTCAAAACTTGTCCCAAATCTTCTAGAACTTCTTCAAATGGTTGCGTCGTTCGCAGATTTAACAAAACGCGACACTGCATAATATTAATAATATAAATTTATTAAATAATATAAACTAAATTGTTATACTTTGCACCGTTTGAATGCCATTAATCATATGTTAAAATTTAATTACTATTTTACTTAGTGATTTCTATTTATGCGAACACGACCCATTGAATAAAATTTGGTATATTTGTTAAAATTGAGCTACACCCAATTGACATAATCTTATGTTTTTTTGTATAAAAAAAACTAGAAATACCATTAAAATTACTAATATACCCCTTAAAACACTGCTGGTAACCCTAAAATACTTGCGTTAGGAGAGAGGTTCACGACAGTAGTTGAAAGGTGGATTCGAACCCACGACATTTTTTTACTGTCTAAATATATCATCATCATCATCATTGGCCTGTAAAGATAGTCATCCACAGCTGGTTATGGGTTTCTACCATTGTAAGATGAGTTTACTTTTGCCACGTTTAGCAAGCGGTTTAAAGATCAAAGTAAGAGATCTTTTGCACATTGGTCGCTGCTGCCGGACGCCGGTATATTTATCTTCCGTCTGGCATAATTGAGATGGTTACAATGCCATATACGAGTATAGTAAGCCACGAGATCTTTCTGATATTTACGACTGAATACGACTCACGAATGGATATGGACTGATGGTCTCTTTTAGTCCGCCATTATGTTTAATTAAATATTTTTTTTTATTAGTTTAAACTTTATTGTTTTTGTTATTAGTTTAAACATTATGTTTTATTAAACTTACTACTACTATAATACTATATACTACTATACTACTCATAACTATATCTTGACTTGAGTTTCCTCTTTCTTCAGACTACTCGATTTTTTAACTGTTAGTGTTGTGCACCTACTTATTTTCAACCTAAAAACATCCCACTAAAACATCTCATTTCTTTAGTAATATAGTGGATTAGTGAAAAACAGGTAAATAGCTGAAACTAAACGACGAATCTTATTTAAGTGAAATACTATAAAAACCCATTGTTATGAGAACTCGTATAATTGACACTTACCATGAAATGATTTATGCAAACATATTGCGGGAAAATTAATTGTAGCGATCACGAAAAAGGAATTATAGAGTTAGGTACATGTAATATATGTACGTAACTTAAATTTTGTATTGAAACTCTCGGACAAAGTCAGTGTTTATGTCTCAAGGTTTTACAACGATAACGTTTCATTTAGACCACGCCACGAAGGTACTGTTTGGCGTTTACGATTGTTAGTATTGTTTGATAAAGAAAAATACGCGCCTAATCTCTTTGTGATTGCTTCCTGTTTTGGTATTCATGTCAGTTTAATTAAATTTAATTGCCATCAAAGTTGTAATTTAGCTAGCTTAATAAGAAAGTAAACTCTGATGTTTTGATATGGTTATGATTTAATATTGAAATAAGATTATTTTGCCATTAAAAACTACTTTTCCATTTATGTATCTAAACTGGTAGAAGTTAAAACGATGTTATCATAATTCTTATTTATGCCTATCTTTTGAACATTGTAGAGCCATTCTGGAGCTATATTATGGTTGTAGCACAAATGGGTCGGCTCGAGCTCAATGCTACTGTACTTCATATGGTATAAGAGTCGAGAACCAGAGAACCCTTTTTTACTAGAAACAAGGCAGTCTATCTTAGTCCTCGGGGGTGGCAACGCATCTGCGTTTTGATTCTTAATCGAGGAAAGATGTAGATGACTATGGGCCACAACATCCATTTACCACCAGGTGGACTGTGCGCTCGTTTATCATCCTTATTCTATAAAAAATATTTTAATATTTATATCATCATTACAACTTATAAAAGTCCACTGAGAACATAGGCCTCCACGTAGATTGCCTCATAGAGGGATACTTGCGGTAGTTACCACTCTTGGCAGGCAGCTCGGCAGCCGCAGTTTTTTATTAGTATTTATGTTATTAGGAAGATGCTATTGCTCGTTTCTTAATTCAGTGTTCCCTATGCCGCCTCTAAAGACATCCACGAGATGATCTAAGTGATGGATTCTCTTACGCTACCACTTCCCTTACTTAATAAAATCAGGCGTTACTTTGCGGAAATCCATTATATTAAAGTTGGTAAAAATTACCTTGCCTACATCCGCTCGATAAAATATAATTTAAAATTAAAAATTTTGTACAGCCGACTTCAAAATAAGTTATTAAGAATATCTCAAAAACTATTGGTCTGACCTTGATCAAATCGTAAGGGACCACATGAGAAGCACCAGCTTTCAAATAAAGAAAGAATCATCGAAATCGGTTCACCCAGTAAAAAGTTATGAGGTAACACACATAAAAAAATACAGTAGAATTGAGTACCGTCTCCTTTATGGAAGTCGGCAGAAAATGATCTGTCTTACCTAGTTTGAAGAGCACCTCCAACCCTCCCTCAATTGCGTGCCCTATCCCCGTCACCACTAATCCCAGCCGGTCAGCACCGCATCCCAGCATCACTACTCCCAACACCACTAAGCTTAACGGTCAGCCACCGCAGAGTATTGTCGTCAGTGGTGTGTCTTTTCTGGTGTAGTGGTGCTGGGATTAGTGATAACGGTGATAGTGCACGCAATTGAGGGGGGGCTCTTCAAACTAGGTAAGACACATCATTTTTCTATCGACTTCAAAAAGGAGCCGGTACTCAATTCGACTGTACGTTTTTTTTATGTATGTTACATAGCGGGGATATTTGCCATAGGTGCTATGCTTGGCAAGCGGGTTGGCAACCGCATTTTTTTATTTTTAGTCGTTATTTGGAAGACGCTGCTGCCCATCTCCTGATTTGTTTCCCTCTGTCGCCTGTTACTACAATCACGGGATGATATAGGGTATTAGATATTCTTACACTGCCACTAACGGTATTTTATCACATATTTATATATATTTATGCTTAACAATCATACGTGTGATAATTGATAGGATATAATTTCCGGTCCAGTCCGAGACCGGGTCGTTATTGAGTATTTTTTTATTGCTTGCCCAAGGAATGTTCGAGGTTTGATAGAGTTAATAAGTTTTCTTTTGGTGAGTACCTAAGTAAGTCTAGGCTCACAAGAATGACCCACCATTCTTGTGAATTTCATCATTTTTAATTACATCACTCGTTGAGGTGAAAAATCCCCAGATTACAGCGGTGAAAAATGGACAGATAAGGCACAGGACAGAGATGTGTGGAAACCTCCGTAGGAGGCTTTTACCCTCAGGCTAGGTATTAGGTAGTTATTAAATTCATATATTTTAATTGAAATATTGTTTTACTTAAAATTTCTAAAGATAACGAACGAATAAAAACTTAATAAATTGATATTTGGCTATTTTCTACCGACTTAAAATTGGAGGAAGTACTCAATTCGACTGTAATTTATTAATAAATTAAAAAATTTGAAAATATTTTTCCTTTTCTTTTTCTTCAAGAAAAGAGCCTACTCCTTTCTTAAATGCCGGTAACGCACCTGCAACTTCCTTCGTGTTGTAGATATTCGTAGACGACGGTGATCACTTCCAATCAGGTGAGCCGCATGGTCGTTTGCCTTATCTCCTACAAAAAATACAGGAAAACGATAAAAGTAATGAACGGCTTACCTGTATGGAGTGGTCCATATTGTTGATGATGCGAATGACGCGCCCGCTAGTCGTCTTCCCGCCGCCCGGGGGAGGCGCGTCGGACTCCACTACCGACTGCTTGCGGACTGCCCGCGACCACCCGCTGGTTCCCGTCGCGGTGCCGCCGTACCACATGCCGTTCTTTTTACCGTAACTAGCTGCCTGTTTTAGAACGTAGGTAATTGTTAAAAGCAATGGCAGCTATTCTAGCGGTAAGAATACTTCTAGAGTGGAGCCAATTGGACCGTCGGGTCCACATGCGATGAAGTTCCTAAAGAATCTGTATCCGCAACTTGTCACCACCGCTGTTTATAAGAGATGTGTAGACGAAATTTGGAATAGGGCAACGGAACTCAAGGGGCCAGCAGCTGGCCGACTTCATGGAGAAAGAGGGACTCTTTATGGTGAACTCTTTCTTCCAGAAGCGGCCCCACAGGACGTGGACCTAGCCGAGCCCCAACAGTTCGACAAAAAATGAGATTGACTTCATTATGACGACCAGACGACAACCGTTCAGTGATGTCTCCGTGATCGCGAGAGTGAAAACTGGTAGCGATCACCGAATGGTTAGAGGCACACTGAACCTAAACGTTAAGTTGGAGAGGTCTCGTCTAATGAAGTCAACGCTCCGTCCCCCTCGTGCTCTAGTTCAAAGTCCCGAAACCTTTCAGCTCGAGTTACAAAACCGTTTTCAGTACCTGGAAGACTGCAATGCAGTGAACGATATGAATGACAAGTTCATGGAAACTGTCTATGCGGTCGGAACTAAGTTCTGCAAGACCCGCCGCAGAAGAACACAAAAACTCTCCGATCACACTCTTAATCTCATGGCTATTAGACGGGAGATGGAGCTACATTCTTCAACAGATTTGACAGCATACAGGCAACTGAAAAGACAGATCTCCAAATGCATGCGGCGGGACTTACGCAACTTCAATACAGCTTGTATTGAAGAAGCGATCGAGTGGAACCAAGACTCCAAAGTCTTTGCCAGAGATCTGTCTGCTAGAAAGAGCCAACTGTCAAAGCTGAAGACCGAGTGTAGCAGTATCGTTTCCGGGACACCTGAGATTTTGAGTGAGATTGAGAGGTTCTATGGGCAGCTGTACACGTCATCGTTGGAGCCACACGCAAGTGTAAGTAACGATCCAAGAGCGAGTCTTATCCGACACTATTCCGAAGATATCCCGGACGTCAGTCTGAACGAGATTAGAATGGCTCTCCAGCACCTTAAAAACGGCAAGTCCCCGGGCGAGGATGGAATTACAGCGGAGCTTTTGAAAGCGAGTGGAAAACCGGTACTTGAAGTCCTTCAGAAACTTTTTAATTCTATCCTCAATGGTGGCACTATTCCGGAGACGTGGAGCAGAAGTGCGGTGGTCTTGTTCTTCAAGAAAGGTGACAACGCTCTCTTGCAAAACTACAGACCGATTTCCCTTCTGAACCGAGTCTACGTGCTGTTTTCGAGAGTCATTACGAATCGTCTCTCACGCAGACTTGACGACTTCCAACCTCCCGAACAAACCGGTTTCCGAAAAGGCTTTAGTACCATAGACTACATATTTACCCTGCGGCAGATTGTACAGAAGACAGAGGAGTATAATCTGCCACTTTGCCTTGCGTATGTGGACTATGAAAAAGCCTTCCATTCCGTCGAAATTTGGGCGGTGCTGCAGTCCATTCAGCGGTGCCAAGTTGACTGTCGGTATATCGAAGTGCTGAAGTGTTTGTACAGTAGAGCTACGATGGCTATCCGAGTACAGAATCAGAGCACGAAACCTATCCAACTGCAGAGAGTTGTAAGACAGGGTGACGTTATATCCCCGAAACTCTTCACCGCTATATTGGAAGACGTTTTCAAGCTACTGGACTGGAAAGGATGCGGTATTAACATCAATGACGAGTACATCACTCACCTTCGATTTGCCCACGATATAGTCCTTATGGCAGACTCGCTGATGACAACCTAAGCACTATGCTCAAAAACCTCAATAGTGTCTCCCAACGGATAGGTCTTATGATGAACATGGACAAAACAAAAATCATGTTTAACGTATGGACGGTCACACCTATGCCGGTAGTTGTTGGGAGCACTAAGCTCGAAGTTGTTGACGAGTATGTTTACCTGGGACAAATAGTCCGACTAGGTAAGTCCAACTTCGACCGGGAGGTCAATCGACGGATTTAACTCGGCTGGGCAGCGTTCGGGAAACTACGACACATCTACTCATAAGGTATACCTCAAAACCTGAAAACGAAATTGTACAACCAATGCGTGTTGCCAGTGATGACTTACGGATCTGAGACGTGGTCCTTCACTGCTGGCCGTATGAGGAAGCTCAAGGTCGCTCAGCAAGCTATGGAGAGTGCTATGCTCGGGGTTTCTCTGCGTGATAAACTTAAAAATGAGGATATCCGCAGTAGAACCAGAGTAACCAACATAGCCCAACGGATTAGTAAGCTGGAGTGGCAGTGGTCCGGCCATATAGCTCGAAGAACCGACAACCGATGGGGAAGGAAGGTTCTCGAGTGGCAGCCTCGTACCGGTAGGCGAAGTGTAGGGCGACCCCCCACTAGATGGAGTGACGACCTGGTAAGACATGCAGGAATGGATGCAGGTGGCTAAGGACCGTGTTTTGTGGCATTCTTTGGGGGAGGCCTATGTTCAACAGTGGACTTATGAAAGGCTGTAATGATGATGAAAATCACAAAATCATAAAATCATCAACCCTTGAATAAAACAATGAAATTATGCATTTATACCCACTTTCCCGTCCGTTGACATACAGAGATTCCGTGACTGTCATAAGGCACAATGCCAACGGCTTTACGTGCTTACCGAAGCGGGGATAACACCGCGAACTTCCCGGGGTGGGCTGTTACTGTGAATTTCTTGACAGTAAAACCCAGTAACTGATGTTTGGCCCAACCAGTGATTCGAAGTACACACAACTAGATTAACGAGACAGTCACGAATCTATACTATGCAATATGCATTACGGCGAGAGGGGGCGCTTATATTTACGCTAGACGCTACTCAAATTAGTTATTAGCTAATGATTTCTTATATTTACGCGAACACTACACATTGAATAAAACTTTTTTTTACGGTTTTTTCGCATTTAATTTACTATTTTAATTCCCGACGTTTCGGGTGCTTTACAGCATGGTCCCCCCGTGACCATGGGTTGCTGTAAAGCACCCGAAACGTCGGCAATTAAAATAGTAAATTAAACGCGATAAAATCCGTAAAAAATAGTATGATTCAATAGCTTTTAGCTAGTCATTTTACAGTATAGTTATACTTTTATACGGAATATCAGTGTACCCGCCTTTTATTACGTCTACTCCTCAATAGTTTACATATTATCACTTATATGAAATTCCTGATGACGAAAAATTCATCTAAAATGTCGTATCCAAATTCCACAGACTACTTTTTTAAATAAATTGCAGTATTATTATCAGAATATAGGCAAACAGTAATCCTCAAAAGACATATTCATGTAACTGCTATGTAGCAGCATGGAATATTCTAGAAACTGCTTTGTAGCAGCCCAACCGTGGACTCAACAATGCCGCTAACGAATTAACCAGTTTTTTTAGTGGTAGAGCCATGCTGCAGCTATATTAGTAGTATAGTAGTAGCACGAATGGGTCGGCTCGACCGGTGAAGGACCACGCTCTCACAGAATACCAGCGTAAAATGGCAGCTTGATACTGTTGTGTTTCGTATGGTGAGTGTAGAGAACCGGAGACCCATTTTACTGGAAAAGAGGCATTCCAACTTAGTCCTCACACCTGCATTTTGATTCTTTATTGAGGATAAATGTATATAATAATGTGTCTATGGGTCACAGCAATCACTTACCATCAGGTGGCCTGTGTACTCGTTTGTCACCCTATCCTATAAAAAAACCAATATCAGTCACTCCTATCTTCATAAGTGAATGATAAAAAATTACAATTGAGTATTATTAAAAAAAATCTGGACAATTAGGGACCGTTTATTTCATTTTTACTACAAAGATGTTCTAGTAGGTACTAAATTGTTATGAATAGTTTACAACTGAGAGTGAATTATTTATTTAGTATTAATAAATTTAAAAATTTGACACTTGTTGGTTGTGGTCCAAGAAACTACACAGATACTCGTAATGACAAAATGAATTCCTTCTCACTTGAAATAATATTACGGATATTTAGGGTCATGAAAGTTTTCTTTAATATAATATTTACTAGTAGCTAATGATCAACATTTATGAAAACAAAATTTATAGTTCTATATACTCGTAACATTTTATGTTGTTTATAAATTGGAAGAATCGAACGGCTACTAGACGTCACGTCCCTGACCGATTTCGCTGATGTGATGAGTGTGCAAACACCGAACAGAAACAAAGTTTTGCAGAAAATCCGGCATACTTAAATCTGCTTTAAATTTTAAGTTTCAAATTCACCGTTGTTTCTGAAAACGTCTACAAGAACATTATTGTTGCATATGCTTTAGGCAAATGACAAATGGCAACAGAGGAAGTATTCACGTTATAAACTGAAGTTATAAATTTCCCAACACTGGACACAAGCTCAATTTTATTTCCAACCGGCTTCAAAAAAGAAGGAGGTTCTCAAATCGATTGTATTTTTTGTGTGTGTTACCTCAGAACTATTATCTAGGTGAACCGATTTTGATGATGCTTTTTTTATTTCAAAGTTGGTGCTTCCATGTGGTAATATCTATTACATTTTGATAAGTGTTATTACCTATATATGTTTTTATAGGATAAGACTGACAAACTAGCACACAGTCCACCTGATGGTAAGTGGTTGCTGTGGCCCATAGACATCTACATCTATCCCCGATGACGAATCAAAATGCAGATACGTTGTCACCCATGAGGAAGATGAAATGCCTCGTTTCCATTAAAAAGGGTGTCCGGGTCTCTACACTCACCATACGAAACACAGCAGCGTTGATCTGCTATTTTACGCTGGTATTCTATGAGAGCGTGGTCCTTTCCCGGTCGTGCCGACCTATTCGTTCTACAATTATACCAGTAATATAGCTGCAGCATGGCTCTACCACGTAAAAATATGTATAAAATTTTAATCATATACTGTAAGTGACTAATGCTTTTATAATATATGTTGGTTTCGCGGAA